ATACATGCCACAGAGAACAATGAGAGTCCTCTAATAACAAAGTGAGTGCCCCCAGCTGGTCAGTATCAGGCACCCTCCAGGGCCTCCAACTCCTGCCAATTGGAGCCTTCACTGTTAAGACAAACTATCTGCCAATTAACTGCAACTGGAGGGCATTGGCATAACCAACTGACATGCAGTAAACTACCCTCAGAGAGTAAGGGTTAATCGCAGGAATATCCCTTATTCATGAGCATCTATACTTCTGCATAAATACACTTAAACTTGGGTTAGGAAGCTAGTTGCTACTTAGGTTTATTTGTGAACTTTTACCTAACATTTCTACAAATGACAAACGGAATCACCGACTTAATATCCAATATAAAAGTCTGAGCAAATTGTACGCTTATGACAATTACCAATGGAACTGACCACAACTTTTGTATTTGAATAAAAATGTCGTTTGAATACGATTTTCACAGGAGTCTGTTTTCCATACGACACCGGAACTCTTATTTGCAATAGGCCAAATTTCTTCGAACAAAAGAGGGCACAGTTTCGAAGTCATTTTCAGGGTACCACAAGAAAATCACCATTTATTTAATCAGTTTTGTAAGCTAAGGTAACTTAAATCACGATAACAACCCTAACCCCATAGGCCTTTTTGGCTAGGAACCATCCTCAATTTTGTCAGAGCCTCCAATTTCCAACATGTAAATTGGATTCAGCCTCAATCCTCCAAAACTATCCATTCACTCTTAAATTTGTTCAGTGGAATGGTGACCATTGCCTTAATCCTTTAAAATTCTCCAACAATCACTGTTCAATGGTTGAGGTAGTGCCGATGACATTCAGTGCGGATGATGTCGAGCATAATGCAGTGCTCAATTATGCATTACTTATCATCAACAATGCTGGGTACAGTCTACAAACTCGACACAATGCATCCTCCAAAATCAGCCAACATATTTTTTTTTGCCATTCAGCCTCAATCCTCCAAAATCTTCCAAAATCCTTCAAAAACGCCTAGAGGATTTAGGAGGATTAGTAGGGTTGAAAACTGACAAAAACTAATGTTTGAGGTGTAGCTCGCTGAATAGCAAAAAAAAAAGGTGTTGGTTAATTAGCTCCCCAATATAGCATCGTCATAGCGCCCTCATGTGCTTATGAATAAGGCCTATTGGGTCCGATTCTCATCACAACTAGTTTGATCTCCTTAACCCCTTAAGGACGGGAAGCGGTCATGGCCGCGGCCGCTGATCTTCATTGGAATGCAGTTGCCAGCTGTGGTATGCCGTGACACGGCTAGTGGGTAGTTCCCACAGCTGCTGCTTTTATGCAGTCCCGCTACCACACAAAGGCTGTGCAGTCATGCGGGCCACTTGCTCTATGTGTGGAGGAATGTCCCCATTACACCCCGTCCTTAAGGGGTTAATAACTTATCAAAGAAATTAGTTTATATGGTATGTGTATGAACCACCCCAAAAACAGAAAGTCCACACTCATTGGAGGAGTCACAATTTTGAATCTGATCGTCTGATAATAATGTCATTGATAAATACCTCGGGGGAATGTTGTTAGCAACATTTTGATACCCCGTTTGCTACCAAAGATTGCATATCCACCAACACTGACAATGGTTTATGAAAAATGATGCAGTTTCAAAAGCTGCAAATTTTAAGAGCTTGCGAGTCGAGTGAAAATTGCTGCATGACAATGTGACACTGCCTGAAACGAATGACAGGGAGGGAATATCAATCGCACCGTGCTAAATGCATGAAAATGTAATAACCCGCGCTTTGTTCGGGCACTGTGCAGTCGACAGGGGCCAATGAATTACAGGCATGTGTGTTTGCCCTCGCAATTTCTCCTTGTTCATCTCTTAAATTGCAACTTTTCAAACTGCATCGTTTTTCATAAACCATTGTCAATCTTGGATGATACACAGTCATTGGTAGCAAATGGCATATCAAAACGTAGCTGACAAAATTCCTCAAAGGTGTATACAATTGACGTCATCATAAGAGGATCAGATTCAAAATTATGGCCCTCCAATGAGTGTGGATTTTTTTTTGGGGGGGGGGGGCAGTGTTTATGTTTACACTAGAAAGGAAAACAAAATGAACAATACTCATGATCACCAGGTATAAATTTGTAAAAGCCAAAATCTCGGTGTGCCTGTGGTGCACCAGGTACCACTGATGACGTACAACATAATGACGCTATGTTCACACTATGCGTATGACAACCAAAACTTGTGCAAGGATTCCTTATCAAACTTTCCCAGACCATTTCAAGATGTCAGATATGGATTCTTTTCGTTGCCCCTCCCCCCCCCAAAAAAAAAGACCGCAAAGTGCCAACACAGAATGTATTGCTTTCCAATCTGACTAAAATTATCCTGATACGATGATTCCTGTATGTGACAGTGTCTGTGTTATTAAACAGTAATAAAATAGATAAGTATACACATAGAACATCTTGATACAAGACTAAAGCTCAGCTATTAAAAACACCTTAAATGTCTGCAACGTGTTGCTCATTTCTGTCTGCCAACTTGATACTCATTTGTCCCAACATTTTTATTATGTCTGACTTTTAAGCACAAATGTAAAAGCAAACAAAGCTAGTACATATTCATAAGCAGAAGTTGATATGCAAGACTACATGTAGGAATACCCCAGTTTGGTATCTCGATGAATTAGTCCAGGTCAAAGGTCATTCAGCTTAAAATTGCTGAACAAAAAATTTCATGCGCCTGTCTCCCGGCGTGTTCATGTGCCTTCGATGAGCATTTATATTATCCCGAATGACCCACGACCCACATCATTGTTCGCATGTGCAATTAAAATATTGAAAAAGTTTGTACTTGAAAACATTTGACTGACTGGTTGACAAGCAGTTACATGTGAGCTGGGCAGTGCTATCCTATAGGATTAACCTGTAATACGAATGAACGGGCTACATCCGGCCTTACTAGACTTGCTAAGTCTTGTTTCTGAGCTACATAAATTGCATATAATCAGACATCTGTGTATGAAACAGCTTCTGCTGTTAAGGGTAAGAACATTAATGGTGACCCTCCCAGCCCAACACAGTGCATCAGATGTAAAAAGTCTGTGGGACCTTGCTGCATTGAGCCATCAACACTAGTGTATTAATGGTCAATTCTGAAACAATGATAGCTAGTCCCATCTCACAGTTGTATCCTGCTGCAATTGGTGACCACACAGACTCTTGATGAGGGAGTTTTGCCTTGAGATTTTTGATCTTGCTACACTGAGCAGGCTTGTCATTTTGACAAGTGTTGCATGTTGCTGCATTCAGCAGGGTTTCTAGGCAAAATACCCTAGGCAGTGCTAGGGGGTTAGGGCTATTGAGAAGAATTGCTGAGCAAAAAAAATTACCGGCCAACATGTCATGCGATGTACATGTATAATGCTTGTTACTCTCTACACTGCCCAAAACTACCCCAGCACTGTATGGAGCTATGGATTCATCAGGGAGTTACATGTAACACAATGTAACACAATGTAAATACAATGTAATAAAATGTAATACAATATGTAACACACTGTATTACATACACATGCTTATATGGGATAAATTGAAGGAACATACATGTTGAGCTGGGGTCCAATGCTTATAAATTACATGAACTGTACTACAACAGTGGTTCAACAATATAACTTATAAGCGATACATGGCGAATTGTTGGTGTATAAACTATGGTAGTACATGACCTGCTGGGTAGTGAACCTGTAGCTTTAGAAAACAAGGTATGCCCATTCTCAAATCATAACAGACCAGAAATGACGACTTCGCACTATAAGAGCTCGGCAGCAAAGCACCGGGCCAAATTGCATGGCGCTGCGTAGCAGTTAGCAGTAACGTTGTGTTAACAATAGCAGAAAATCGTGCTAACCTTAACCCAATAGTCACTGCAACTAACTGCCCCTGCCTATTACTCCCTGTAGTGCTTAAAACTGCCCGAACACTCTAAGGTTTTACGTAGTAACCCTCCTCTGCAAACATACATTTGGTGCCGATCCTTTCTGTCAAAACAAGTGACTGTTTTCCACAGTTAAGAACTCCCAGCCTACACAAAGCAGTGGCTGGGACTGTTTAAGTAACTTGATACAGCTATGCTTCGACTCTGGGCGAGTGATAAAACAGCTGTGACCACAACTTGCCTGCTTTGTCTGTTGACCATGTTTGACTAGTCACAGTGCTTGCTTGACACATGATCTGACTGCTGGTGACTAGCCTTTGTTAAAGCCCGAGTCCATCATTTGCAGCTATCCAAAAAAGTAACTGGCGTAATTATTGTTGAAAAACATACTGGTTGAAAGATAGTAAGGGGACTAAACTCCCTGTGAAATGATCCTTCCTGGCAAGCTCTCATTTTAAAGAAAACAACGAAAGAAGGCATTTCCAATGGTGCTTCTTAAGAAGCACCTTAGGAAACTTTAAATTAGTTGTTCGTTTTGTTATTCGGCGCAGCGCTCACAAGCATTGGAACGACGCACAGGCGCGCGCGGTTGCTATAATTCGTCGGATCGGTGCGCGACATCGCGTAAAGCTGCAATTCAAAACAATTCGAAACATGATTTAGCAACTTTTGATTTGAAATTGAGATCCTAGAATGCTGTTTTTCTCGGAATATGAAGCTGAAGCCGAGCTGAAACTTCATCAAGTAAGTTGTTCAGTATCCTTCATTAGATTTTGAACACTTTTGTTGCTTCAAACGAACAAAATGCACTAATTACAAATGATGGACTATAGCTTTAAAAGTGGATGGAAGTGAATTTTGACTGTCTGTGACTGTTTAAATGGCAGAATGGTTAATCAGTAAATTAACGTCAGGTAATAACATAGAAGAACAGGTATTATGAGTTAAGCACTATTTTACAACACGGATTTGCGGTTACGGCTGCTCGTGCATGAAGATGTCTATTGTTGTGTCACCAATTTAACCCTTTAGTCACTGTAGCGACCAAATCCACCCTGCCTTATAGCCACTCTAGGGCCTGAAACCCCCCAAGCACTCCTTCATGACGAAAACGGCCCTCTTAAGAAAGTGGCTAGTTTCACACACCATTTTGGACCTCTGTTGGGAGCCCGTGGGGAGCAGTCCCAGCGAGATAATCGCTTGTGGTTAAATGAACTACCACCTATTAGCCACACTGCTTTCTGGAACTATACTTTCTGGTGATTGTGGTTTATGCTGGCATAGCAGTAAAAGATCCTTCTCGGCCATTTATTCACCGATTCTCACAGTTCAACATATAAAACAAGTCAACATTTCAGGTACATCATCATGATAATACTTTTAGATTGAATTTAGCAACGAAATAATAGGCTTGAAATCTCTCAGGCATAGTGACTGTCACTCCTTTATGGAACCAATTATAGGATAAGTGTGGTTAAGAGTCTTAATCCCCCAGAGCAAACCCTCCAAAATGGTGTGTCCCAACCCGAGTGGCCTATATGGTTGGTCGGGTTGGTCTTAAGAGGAGTGTTCACCTCATGTTGGTTATATGGATTCTTTAGTGAATAAACACAGTTTAATACAATGTAGTACAATGTGCTTATGGGTTTGCGGTATTTCTATTGTTATGGCACGAATTTAAATAACCATTTCGTACCAGGCTTAGCGTATCTTTTTGTATGCTAACTGTTTTGCTTTCTCTGTATTAAATTGACAAAGGTTGTTACGAAGAGAAAATCGTGTGCTTAATCCCACCATGAGTTTGGGCCCTGGTTTTATGAACGTAATCTATAACAGACGTACATTACAGACATTCTGACAGTAATCAACTCATTACAGACACACACATTGATGCTCTGCTTTCTGTACAAAAAAATCTGTACATTTTGGCGATTTTTTTTTTAATACCCACTCAACATCCTGGCCCTGGAATATGTACAAATAGAGTCTCCATGGAGCGCCTCAGTGCAAAAACTGCAGATGCAACACAGTTATCCATGTCTTTGTGATGTGAGAGTAAAATGCCACAGGTGGGTTGTAAAAGTTGTAGGGAGGCCCCTGAACATGCATTAACATTATCTCAATGGCTTACATGTGACACTGTGGCTTACATGTGACACTGTGGCCCCTGAACCTGGACGAGTCTCAAGTGTTAACCATGTTACGGTAAGGTCCTTGCATCTTTAGGAACTGTAAATGAAACAGAAACACAAAAATAATTTAGGTGAACTTGTTTCAAAGGCATCAAGTTATGTGTCACATTAGAACTGGTCAATACACACCCAGTTCAAAGGTATGCCACTGAATGGATTCTCTTGAGATTTCACAGCGAATTTGGGTCACTTCTTGTTGTTGAGAAAAAAATTACTGACATTTCTCAAAAAATCTTCACACAAACACACCTTTTCCACTTTTGGGATTTTTTTTTCCCAACCACAATGCGGAGTCTGATCTTCAACACTTTGGCTGCTCCAAAAAAAAAAAAAAAAAAATACAAATCGATTTTGCCATGATTTTTCCAACTTCGGGCGCTGATTACTCAAAACAAGGTCTTGGGGAACATTGCTTATTTAGCCTCGGTAGGTCACAATTCCTCGCGTTTTTTTCCATACTGGCGAACAGGTTGCACCGCACATTTTCCATACCAGCGAACATGTATACAACTTTGTATACATGTTCGCCAGTATGATAAAGGCGCGATGCAACCTGTTCGCCAGTGTGGAAAAAACACGACGAATTGTTAAACACATAAGGGACCGTGACCATTCAGCCCTGGTATGAAAAGGGCCCCCCGGTACCGGTACCTCGCTGGTCCAGAGCCAGTCCGGTCTTAAGCCCAGTTTCGCCCGGTACATGGTCCTGTCTGACCAGAAGTTTTGAAGTCAGTCAGGCGCATCAATTTATTGCCCTTCAGAGAACCTCCAGAGCAGAATAGCAGACTTACCAGATTAATGATAAAATCCTTCCAAACGCCTTGGCAATTTACGGTCCCATTGTGCGCGAAACCGCATGGCGGGGTTTTGATCTGTGCCGACGAAAGTGTTCTATTGTTTCGCGCTGAGAGATGAAAACCACAAGCGGGTTTCTTCTGGGATACATGTATATTACATGTGTCAATACTTGCAAACATTAGACCCCAGGATAGAGGAGTTCCTGATTAGCAACCGGATCAGCTCCTGGGCCGGTAGCTGGGACGGTGCGAAATGACTTCTTGGGAGGGGACGAGCTTACCGGGGGGCCCTTTTCATACGGGGGCTGAATGGTCAGGGTCCCTAATGGATATTGACACAGTCCAGGGGCAGAAAACTTACATGAATGACCAATGATGGTCCACCTGCGGTCACCTCTGGAGGTATGTTAGCCAGAGGACAGTTCTCAATGCTCATTATCTGTAGCGAGGTGCACAGAGCTAACTCGTAGGGCAGTGCGTTCAGTTTGGGGTTGTCATTTAGGTACAACTGCTCCAGTAGCTCCAATGTTCCTGCAGAAGCACAGCACAAAGCGCTTTTTTTTATTACATATTTTTACACATTTTTAATCAATAGTTCTTGAATATTTATAGTCTGAAGTTGATTAAATTTCTCAGGACAAATTTTGCAATTCAAAAAATATATAATGTTTTTATACATTTACAACAATAATGTATGATGTTACCATGACAACACTTTGTATCTTGGCAAACATGTTCTGTGGACATGTTCAATGTACCAACTAAGTTTCATGATCAATAGACTTTGTACACTGCGTTTTAAAATAATGGAAAACAAATGTGAGGCGTTTTGACAAAATTGAGACAGAGTTTGGTAGAGGTCAAAATGAGGGTTTGTGGGTATTATGGAAGAGAATAACATTCTCCTTATAAAACTGCTCATCATACTTCCATCGGACATTCCATTGACACCAGGGGTGTGGGTGACCACTGAATAAAATAGCTGAAAACAGCTGAAAAAGGTGTAAGAAAGCTGAACTTTGGAAATATCCTATACTTCTGTACACAGCAAGTGAGGGAAAAAGCTGAAAAAAGCTGAAATCCAACACACAAAAAAGCTTAAATCAGCTTTAAAGCGGAGATTTCACACCCCTGTGACACGTTATGGAGAAAAAAGCCTTTAAAGATTTGTAGTCGTGCAAATGAAAGATATGCCAATTGTTTTTCCTTAAAAAACACTTTTATTCCACAGTTTTATATTACTTCTTTAAAATATGTAAAGCAGCCAAATCAAAGATTACAAATATCAATAAATCTGAACAATCAAGAAAAAGTTACCCCCATTTTTTTTTTTTCATTTTTCTGTACTCTAGCCTGTGCCCAGTTCCATCTCATTTTCCAAGAACGCCTTACGCATAAGAATAAAGATGAAGGTCTGTCCACAAAACTTAGCAGAAAAGCCTGTTACAACATGTACCAGAGAGAATACTGAACAACGCCAGTCTAGTTCCCTGACTCACCTATCTCCTCTGGCAGAGAGTTCAGGTTGTTTTCTCCAACACCAAGATTGGTCAAGTTGGTCAACCGCCTATAATGAAAAAGGGTGGGCAATTTTGATCCAGTAATCATCATGTACATCTATGGCTAGATTACATTGTATGTAGGGCCACTTATTTTCCGCTTCACCAGAAAACAGAGAGTTAACAGAATGCAGTTTTGAAATCGTACTCAGTGGTTTTTTTTAATCACTAAGATTAAGGTTAAGGGGAGTCATCAGGTTGACGTAGCTGTACTTTCATAACCTTTCATCGCTGTAACCCGGTCATAATAAGGGCGAATGTTTCCATACCAAAAAAATTATGTTTTCTGTTTGTGAAAACATTTATACACATACATCGATGCTAAATTATTGCTGCAAAGTCTGTTACCCTTTTACAGGCCAAAACTGCAAGAGCACTCAGATGGTTTATTTGATTCATCAGAGAATAAAGACAATGTAATACAATGTAATACAATGTAATACAATGTAACACAATGTAATACAATGCAGTACAATGTCATACAATGTAGTACAGTGTCATACACTGTAGTACAATGTAGTACAATGTAATACAATGTAGTACAACGTAATACACTGTAGTACAATACAATGCATCACAATGTAATACAATGCAGTACAATGTAATACAATGTAGTACAATGTAATACAATATAGTACAATGTAATACAATGTAATACAATTTAATACAATGTCATACAATGTCATACAATGTCATACAATGTAATACAATGTAGCACTGTACAATGTAATACAATGTAATAATATATATTACAGGTGCAAATGGTTAATATAAACACACTCACCCTATCCCCCTTGGCAAGTTCACGAGTTGATTTGATTGCACCACTAATTTTTGAAGTTCCTTCAAATTACCTAGACATTAACAAAAACATGAAATACATGTTAATTAACAGGAGATATTGACCCTAAATGACTTTCTTGTAAAGGGTCCAAAACTCAAAACTAATTGTCGATTTTCGAAAACTCCCAACCAACAAAAAGTAGGATTGACTGGCTTGTGACTGTGGATTGAAATAGAGGATCCTATTGGTTGAATGTCAGTTGGTGCATGGAGCGTTCTATATCTGCATACTAGGTTCTTGTGGAAAACCAAATTTGTGTGCAGAACAGCGCAAGTCCAAATGCGAAGTTTTTTTTAGTTCAAATATTTAGTTCTTGACTCAAATGACTCTATTTCCACAACTGAAATAAATTAATAGCTGGTCAGTGGAGACCGATGCAACTGTCGCAATTCAGTGCCATGAACCCGAGGCACTCTTGTTGGACAAGGTGATTGATTGCCCTAAAAAAACCAACCATGTAGTGAAGTGTGTTACCAACCAACCAACTAACCAACCGAGAGACTTAACTACTTGTCGAGCTGCTCAGATGCAGCTAAAAACAAATGGTGGCATGGGATCGCCAGGATTTTTTTTAGAGGGGGGCAAAGCCCATATTCCCCCAAAATCCCTATATTTTCCAGCATTTTCCCTATTGATCATATTTTCGAGGGTGGGCAGGGACATTTGCCCCCCCCCCCCCATGAAATGAACAACAATATGATTTCGCGCCTCTTTTTCTTTCTTTTTTTCTCCTTTTTTTGGGGTGGGGGGGGGGGGGGGGGCTTCTACAGGGGTGCGGCAAGTGCCCCCTTGCCCCCCCCCCCCCTCACGTCGCCCATGAATGGTTATTAAATATGATTCCTGTCTTCTCTCACCTATCTCAGAGGGCAGTGATTCCAGTTTATTTTCTTCCAGATCCAAGACCCTCAGCTTTGTCAGACTGCCGATACCACGAGGAAGTTTCTATCAGGGGAACAAATGAAACAGAGACAATTGCATTACTGAAATACAAAACTCAGTTTGGCTAAAGCTTGGTTTGGAAGCTTAAAGCCAATTTGATAGACGTAAACCTGACAAATGCAACACAGTGCAACAGTTTAGGGACACAGTGCAACAGTTTAGGTGTGTGCATTTACAGTTAGTACGAGAATCTGGTACCCGAAAAAAAAAAACACCCGGACACCTGTTAAAGAAACCGACCCCAAATTTAAATACCAGAAGTTGCTGTACAGATTGTCCATAACAGTCCGCACGATACTACTACCACATCGGTGCATCCATACAGCAAGATACAAGTGTGTACAGTGAGCTCAATAGGACTGCATGTGGCTTTCAGTTGCATTCTCACAAGCATCATCAACGTGAATCTTCTTTGTTTTTCCATTTAGCCTGGTTTTCATTTTGAAACTTCTCCACAAATGACGTTCAAATCTTCTTTTTTTTATCATTGTCTTAGAAGTTACTAAGTAATTTGTAAAGTTCGTTACGGGTACTCCATTCCATAATCTGGAACCGGTTCCTGACATCTGCGGCCGGGTACTCCAGTACCCAGTTCCGATGCACAGCCCTACACCCCTACAACAGTGACAATTCATTTTGTGATATCAGGTCCCATGCAGATTTTCACACATGGTGATCCTAGTGCTCAATCATTTGAAGTAATTTTTTCAAAAGAATTAAGTGCGACTAGAATGACATTCAGGACTAAAATTCTTTTGCTTGATAATTACATGGAAACATTTCTTTTCTAAGTAAACATGTACACTGTAGTTATGTGAAGTTTATGTTCTATTTTCAAACAATATTTGGCTGTTTCGGCAAACTTCATTGGATCTCATGTGTGCTAAATCACGTGACCCTTCCTTCTGATTCAAACTGGAAGTGCCTCATAATTTGATAGTGGAAAAACATGTCAACTTTCTTTCAATGATGTCAGTGCTGGCTAGGTTGTACTTCACAAAAAAATATTATCAGTGACGTCATAAAATGTTAGAGCCCCCTCTAGCGGCAGGTTGAAAAATGTTACATGTCTCATGTCACCAAAAGAAAGTTGCCGAAACCTCCCTGTGTTTGTCCACAAACATAAGTCTCGTTTCAATTATCTTGTGTAAGCCCAAAAGGGTGCATTCAAATCAGCAACCACCTCCAGATCGCAGGGTTAAGAAGTTTACCTTGAGGAAGTTGTTACTGAGTATGAGTACTTCCAGTGACGTCAGGAACTGGATATCCTCTGGTAATTTGGTTAATTGATTGGTTCCTAGATTCAGCTCAACCATGGTGGTCCAACTCCCAACATCTGCAATAAAACATGAAAATATTAGCAAATGCACTCAGCTCCAAGTAACAGTTGGCAGTGTTGTATTCAAGTCCATCGCCAGCCACTTTAACATTCCTAACGAGTTAGAACATCGATCAATGAAGGAAGTGTTTGCTCAGAACTATGTACAAAGTGTAATGATAAACACAATGTGGGGAAAAAAGTCCTAAATCCATCCTCAGGTTGACTTGCGTTTTTCTGGCGCCACGACTGACCCAAGAGCATCAAGCAGAAAATAATGCTCAGGTCACAAAACCGAGAAACTGTGAAATTTTCAAGGAACACGCGGACTCTTGACATAAAATAATCGCAAAACATGCTCATGAGGTCATGACATGGACATTCATGTGACTTCTTTAACAATGGCAGGTACGGCGCGTTGTTAACATTCGAACAACCTTCCACGGCCCAGCTGCTCATTCAACCATTTTTGCCGCACGCTGATTGGTTACACAATGAAATAAGGTGATCCGGATGTGCGTATGACGTCGTAACTTCACACAGGTACACTGCGATTGATGCCCGCCTGTCCGGCACATGTCACAGAAGTTGAATTTTTGTTACTCTTGCGACTTGATTTTTTTAGCGCCGACTGATGCCGATCATATTAATATCATCGCAGTTACTGGTTGCCAAAAAATGGTGACTAATTTGTTCCCGACGGCCGTAGCTCAAGCACAGCTTGATCTTGAAAAGTCAGTTGCCGACTGTTCTGTGTCGTGACAAGGTAGACCCAAGGGCGGCTTTATTAGACTCGTTTCATAAATGCTCAAAAGGTGAGAATTGCGGGGAAACTTACCCAGTGGCAGAGCCATTAGCTTGTTGTCTTTCATGTTGAGTTTGGTGACGTAGCGAGCGCAACTGAAGATGCCAAACGGAATCTTGTTGATCTGGTTGTGCTCCATGTTTATTGACTGCAAATAAACAAACAAACATCATGTTTCATACTTTAACCCTCTGAGTCTTCTGCTTTATATGAGCTTCGGTATAACAAGACTTCGGTTAAGACACGCAGATACGGTTACGCACGCAGATATGGTCACGCTTACTGCTCTCCACAGTGTTGGTTTCTGCGCAGTGACTCTCTGTGTAAACCGTTGACCATGTTCGGTCACGCTTGACTGCTCTCCACAGTGCTGGTTCTGCGCAGTGACTCTCTGGGTAAACCGTTGACCATGTTCGGTCACGCTTGACTGCTCTCCACAGTGTTGGTTTCTGCGCAGTGACTCTCTGTGTAAACTGGTGACCATGTTCGGTCACGCTTGACTGCTCTCCAGAGAGCTGGTTCTGCGCAGTGACTGTCTGTGTAAACCGGTGACCATGTCAGGTCACGCTTGACTGCTCTCCACAGTGCTGGTTTCTGCGCAGTGACTTTCTATTTAAAACCGGTGACCATGTTTGGTCACGCTTGACTGGTCTCCACAGTGCTGGTTTCTGCACAGTAACTCTCTGTGTAAACCGTTGACCTTGTTCTACTTACATAGACTGTGGCAAACTGCTGTGGTCCCCCGACTGGGTATGAGGTGAAGTTGTTTCTCGATAAACACAAACTGGTGAGATTACAAAGACTGCACAGGAGGCCCTCCTAAAAAATCAAGAATAAAACCTAAAAAATCAAGAATAAAACCTTTGATCCTTCCCCTTTCTGGTCCCTCCCCTGTTTATACCAGAACCCTTGTGGTTTGCCATCTCCCTTTGTTTCTTTGTTCTCTCATCCACCCTTCCCTGCATCTTTCCACACCTTTCCCACCTAATCCTCCTGTTGTGTTTCTTCTTTCAGCCCTGCATGTTTGTGTGCACCCCCATGTTAATGTATGTACCTCTGTCATTTCTGTTTTAGCCTCTGAAGAAGAACTTGCTAAGTTCGCAACGTCAGGCCACATTAATTTTTAGAAGAATAAAACCAGTTATTTTTCCAAATAATAATTATAATAATTATAATAACCGGGAATGGGTCATTAGGGAGACTTTCCCAGAGACTTGTGCACAACATTTTTAAAACTTAAACCACAATAGGGCGACACTTCCATAGACTTATGCACAAAATGTACCCTAGCCCAAACCCTATAGCCCTAATAACCCCTAGCAAAACAATGACAGTTTTTATAATAGGGCGACACATTATGTGTCGCCCTATTACAGCAAATTTAATAACAAACTGTCGCCCTATTAGACCTGTTAGTAATATAAGAGTTTGTATTTATGAAGCGCATGTATCAATATTAGTGCTCCAGGCGTTTCATCATTATTACCCCTGCTTACTGGGCCAATGAAACATTTCAAATACCATCTCAGCTCCCTGGGGAGTATACAGCTCGATGCTGCCATTTAACTTCGTCACGCTTTAACATGTGCACTTTTATTTGGGAGACAACAGGGACGAGAGCAACCAAGCTTTCACAACAAAAACCCAATAACAAAACATGAGACATGACATCATTATGTCCCAGGTGTATTCAACCTATGCTCATATTATGTGCCGGCCTTACCGGTAATGTTGCTATATTGTTGCCTTCTACGTTCAGTTCTTCCAGCTCTGTGCACTGACTCAGCGACTGAGGGACACCAGTCAGTTGGTTGTACCTGTGTGGAGAGATGCAATTCAAGTTAATCATAAAATATTACTGAAATAACACAGGCTAAGACTGTGGATACTTAGGAGTAAAGTCATTGTATATTCAGGATATGCGAGGCGTTCTGGAAAAATAAGACAAAACTGGGCAGAGGTCGAAATGAGGGTTTGCAGGTATTAGGAATAACAGTCTCCTTACAATACTATTTGGTGCATTTCATTCGGACATTTCACTGACAAGTTATAGCTGTTTAAAGTGAATATAAAACATTTGCAAACATCAACAAATAAAACTACCGAGTTTTTACGAAATACCTTACTAGGATGTTGGTAAATGACAGTCTAAAGCATCCTGTAAAATTATGGCAACTAGTGTCAAGTCATTTTCAAGAAAATGGTATTTGTATATACATTTCCAACGGTGGCTGGCCGACCACCGTTGGAAAAACCCAACTATTTTTCAACTACTGCTCCAAATTTACCATTTTTTTCCAGTCCAAATTTTGTTTGCTATTGGTTACATGTTCATGAACGGGTGCAGGCCAGCTAGACTGGTTCCCTTACCTTAAAATTTTCCGACATCTATAAATTGATCCATCTATAAATTGATCCATTTTATCATTAATCAAAGATTACAAATATCAATAAATCTGAAAATCGAAAGATTTTGTATTTTGTCATGCAAGTATCATTAACCCTAGACACCCAAACCCTTCAAATTCCAACGGCATGTTTGGCTTGATTCTGTTGGAGTGAATACTGCACTAGAAACTGATCATGCTTTACATGGGGTCAGGCGTACTGACATGATCAGAGTTTATGATCAGTTTGCCATATGGTTTTGGACTTTGCAAGAGTGAGGAAGGTTCCTAGTAACTCACTCCAGGGGTTTGGGTTAAAAATGACTTCATATGACATTTTTGTTTGGAAGACAGTTTGCTATTCATAATGACTCTTCGAGGCTACTGCTTTAACCCTAACTCCTTGGGTATTTTTACTAAGAGGTATTCTGAATCCACCAAAATCCAACAGCAAATATCATCAAATATAGCCAAGGAGTTAAACTGAGATCCTGAATCTATCATAGTCCCCCAACTGCTCAATATTATATACATGATATGGAGGTATCCTGAATCCATCAAAATCATGACGTTCAGCTAGGCTTACAATAATGGATCCATCAAAATCCCCCAATTTGTTCAATATGGAGGTATCCTGAATCCGCCGAAATCCTGCAAAACAGGGGTTTGGATTTTGATGGATTCAGGTACGTTAGGGTTAACCCTAACTCCCCAGCCTAATTTACTAGAAACCATACCCATTCAGGCAAATTCCAACACCCACATGGGAAATTGTACACACACACTGTTGGACTTAAATTCTGGAGGTATGCCAACCCCAGTGTAAAAGACCATCTGTTTAGGGGTACTGTACCTATCCCAACAGATTGAAACAAAACCTGCTGTTGAACTTTGATGGGTTGTGTTCGGTTAGGGTTAAGGAATGAATCAGATATTATAAAATTATACATGTCAGATGTTACATGGACAGGACGACAAGTTGACCAACAATTTTATATAGAATGACCACTATCCAAAAGGGGAATACTTCACAGCATACCTTAACCCCAGTCTGTTCAAAGCTCTGAGGTTACCGATGGACTGTGGCAAGTCTAGTAGTTCATTGTGCTGGAGGTCTAACGATGACAGCTGCACGCAGTTGCCAATCTCTACAGGTGTGGACAAATAAAAGGTGAATAAGTGGAGGACTATGTCAAGTCTTATTAATCTAGTTAGACCAAAGGAAACATGACAGACGTGTTTAACCCTTGACTTCGGGTGATAGCTTTAGACGCAGCTCGATGAAAGCCGATAAGCCAGGGTACTGCTGTAGTCGCATTTCTGCTGCATAGACACATTCATTCATAGACAACAGCTCAATGTCTGCACGTACACATTCCACTCAAAGTGCAGCTGTTCATGGCCGAACAGTACCGGCGTTAAGGGGTTAACGAGGAAATCTAGAAAAAAAATGGACCCTGCCATCCTGTAACAAAACACTGCCCACTGACTGATCAGACCACGATTTTTGGTCAGGTGGCCACAGCAACGGTTCAATCACATGAAAAGATATACAAACAAAATCTGGTACCTTGACCCTCACCTCCCTCCCTCCACAACACACAAACCAAAAGCTTGAAAAATAACAAATCCCTTAAAAAT